TGAATTTCAAAGAGTTCTAATCAAATTTCAAATTCGTCCATATTCTCTAAGGTAAAAATCAACCCTAAAATTTTTGCATTCCAGACATAGACAAAGATTATCTTTTCTTTTGAGTTTTGAGGTGCAAATTAAATGATGAATGATAATGCTTGTGATTAATCAGGTAGTTAGCGCAATTGCAATACCAGAGATGACGTTAGATGTTGGATCGGATACAATCAAATATTTGATGAACCTTTGGATGCCACCAAAACAATCATATGGCACACGCATATGGGTGAGTTTCAGTTTGAGTAGTTTGCTGCCGAGACTGATGTTTGACTCTTTAACTTCTCCAAATAAATCAAATATTTCATAAAAACCTTCACTGCCTTTTTAGATTTGCTTAAACCGAGACACTACTTGTGGAACATTACTGACTGGTTCCTATTCTTGTAGATAAGTATATTATGAATTCTCCAATGTTCGCTGCCCAATTATTTATTTAGTGAGTTGTAATTAGGCCCAATATGTTGTGAGAGGGTCAGAGTGAAGTAAATTATGTAAGTCATTTCATATATAGTTCATTCAATTTTTTTAAGTATAATGTGTACAAAACAAAGTCATAGAATAATTAAACAACTGAATTCTTTTACTTGTTATTTCAGGTTTGATATTTTGTAAAGAAACTGCTTGTGATGCAAGTAAGTATAATTAAAAATTACTATGTTTCATTATTTAGAATACAATATCTGAACTAAGTATATTAACTAACAGTAAGTCTTTCATGATTCCTAGAAATATCTCATGCAATGAAGTTAGGACAGGTAAGTAAATTAGTTAAATTACTTAAATTACTATCTCATGCAAGTCTTTCAATGAAGTACTTAAATTACTTAATATACATGTATTGAATGAAATCTTCATTAAGGTTGGCATGGTTTTCTGTAATATGATGCCTATATTTTTCATCAGTTCAAGACACACTAAATGCATAAAACCATCTAAATTTATATCTGTTAAATATATATACACTAACTGAACTGTGTTTCCTAAATAAAAGTCATAAAAATAATAGAGTATGTGAAGTGGAGTGTGTTCACCTGTGTTTGTATGGAGCCTCTTTCTTTTTCCTATGTCTTTACCACTTGTCTTTACCACTGGGCAGTGAGCTCTTCATTTCAGTTTCCAAATATAAATAAATTTATCACTATGGGATATGAGGAAGAAAGATATCTACTTTATATATGGAACACCACTCATAGGTTATATATATGTATTGAAATATGTTATGACGGATGTAAGAAAGATAACAAACAATAAAGAAACGAAAGCACAAACACACACAGATTTAACGTGGTTCACTAAGAATATGTTGGCTACGTCCACCTAACAGAAGAGAGGAGAGCTTTTACTGATTGAGGAGAGAGATTACAGAGGGGTTTTCTAGGTGACTGATCTCTCTATTTGAATGCCTTACAAATGAACCTATTTATAGGAAAGATGGCAGCCAACTTGGCTGCCTAAATCCAGTGGGATCTGAGCTGTTGACAGCCCAGAATACTGCTGTCATACAGCTGGCCCACCTCACCAACTAGCAACCCACTTGCCCAATTGTCTAGGCCTCCTTCCAGCTACTTTCCAGCCAGTTTACAGCCACTTTCTAGTCAGTTTACAGCCACTTTCCAGCTGGTTTCCAGCCACTTTCCAGCTGGGTGCAGCCATTGTTGACTAGTCAAATAGGTTAGAATTCAAGGCATTCTAACAAATCTCCACCTTGACTTTAATTCTCTCAGAAGACAGCAGAAGCACCAAAAACAGATGTGCAAAGATATCAAATTTCCTCTCAAAAGTGACCAATTGTACCATAGGTACCAGAAGTCCAACCTAGGACACAAATGTCACGAAAAACAGAAACATAAACAAATTGTTTCACTTGAGTTCAAAGGTGTCACGACACACCAAAAACGGTTTCCCTCACGCCTGGAGACAGATAACTCAAGTTGAAACACCAAGAAATGCAAACTCGACCTAGAGTCCAAATGGCTCTTTATAGAACCTGAATAGAAACATATGACACTAACCTAGTGTCCCAGATGACTCCTGAAGCCCAGATTGCCCCATATTGGGGGCCCAGATCACCCCCTCCCGAGGTGCAGCACGCCTCACGGGGTGCAGCACGCCTCACTAAGGCGTAGAAAGAGATGATTCTTCTAGGTGTGCAGATGGAACCTCCACCTTAACATCAAGACTTTCATCACCTCTATGAATCTCAGATGATGCACCAACAACAGAACCTGTAATAGTAGAACCCTGTAGAAAATATAAGGTACCACTTTTAATACCTTTCACGACCACCTTCGAACCCTTGTAGACACTCATAACTCCACCTTTACCCTGGAAACGGAAACCCTTACTATCAAGATGAGTCAAGGATATCATATTTTTTGTCATTAGTGGAACATGTCTGACATCGTGCAATGTGCAGAATTTACCATCATGCGTCCGAATCTTGATCGAGCCCATTCCAACCGTCTTGCAGACAACACCGTTGGCCATAGAAATATTACCCTTGTCTATCTGCTGATAAGTTGAAAACCACTCTCTCCTTGGACATATATGGTAGGATGCCCCAGAGTCAAGAACCCACATGTCAGCATGACGCGTGTGTTCGTCTGCAACCAAAGCAATGTCCTCTTCGGAATTGGTGCCATCTACCGCTACCGCAACAGATTCTCTGGGATTTTGCTCCAACTATTGGTTTCTTTTCTTCGGGCATTCATTCTTCCAATGCCCTTTCTCCTTGCAGTAGTTACATAAATCATTTGCTTCCGGACCCTTGTAACTTGGCTTCTTGAATTTCTTCTTGTCTTGTTGTCCATGTCCATTGCTTCCACTGGCTATCAATCCAGCGACCTGATTATCTGTTCCAGTCGCCTTATGGCGCAACTCCCTGGTATTAAGAGACGACCTGACCTCTTCCAGAGACACGATATCTTTCCCAACAATGAAAGATTGTACGAAATTCTCATACGACAATGGTAGTGAAACCAACAAAATTAAGGCAGCATCTTCATCCTCTACCTTAACATCAATATTACGCAACTCCAAAAGAATTGTATTTAATTGATCCAGATGGTCTCTAAGAGGGGTACCTTCCTGCATTCGGAGACCGAACAGACGTTGCTTCAGAAGCAACTTGTTGGTTAAAGACTTTGTCATGTATAGACTTTCCAACTTCAACCATAGACCAGCGG